CTCAGGGTTCACAAAGGGCTTTACAATTGCTCTAGAGTTTCTTCCTAATCATTATTCACTAAGGAGATAAAATACATGTGAAGTCTCCACATCTGTTGCTGCACTAAGCAGAATGATTCGGGTGAAGATTTGATTCCAATCCTTTCTCCTATGGTGCCATACTTACACAGCACATAGCTCACCTAGCACGAGGACCACCATCTGATAAGGAATGTATAAGGAAACTCTATGAGTCAATGAAAATTCTACACAAAGTAATAAAACACAACCTAAATACCTATAAAGACAGATCATATTGTAACCCCAGAGGACAAGCAGATCTTTAAAATTAATATTGTTTTATTTTAGAATTTCCAGCTTCAGTATTCTGGAAGTGTCAATTGCCAGTCTTTTTCTATTCATCTCAGATGAAAGGACGGAAAACAAAACCTCTCTCAGGAAACTAGTATATCCATCTGAGAAAAATAAGGAACACTGCTCCTAGGAAGTTTGAGTCTGGTTTCCTTTCTTCAAGGAAGTGAAGGAGCCCAGATTGTTGAGGGTATGAAATAATAAAAAAATTTCCTTGGCTGTTGTCTCATTGTATTTCTCACCTCTTTTCCTTTCAATGAGAATGCTTCATACCTGAGCAAGGCAAGATGGAGAGTTGAGGCAAAAAGAGCTCCCTACCAAGATATTTGGAGCTAACGTTGAATGAAACCTTTCCTTCCACCAAGAATTCCTTGTTACTTGGAGAGCAGTGAACATTATGGACCTGTATGCCTGATAACAATATTTTTGACAAAAAACTAATGTTAAGAACAATACAAATACTATTTATCTGATATATCAGTGGACCAAATGCATTTACATAAATGTTATTCAAATTTTGGGAAACATTCACTTACTTTTTCTAATAATTACATTAGAAAAGACAAATACAGAAATTGCCTAAAATACTTTATAAATAAATATAAAATAGGCATAGCTTTAAGTAGGACTAATTTAAATAGTATAATATTGATACTGATAGAATAACAATGACATTTCATTAAAAGTACAGAAACACACCTATGCATAAAATAGGATTAAGATAAATTTCTAGTATCAGTCAAACACACATTCAGCTGTCAAGAGACTAATGATCATTATAAGAAGTTCTGAATTGTTAAAGGAAAAAGATTAGATTTAGTATGGTATTTATGGAAAGTATTTTTAAGTACATTGGAAAATATGAACAAGAAATAGATATACAGTTCAGTGGTAAAACACGTATATATCATGTGGAAGGCCCTGACATTGATACCAAACATTGCAAAAGATGCAAATAAGTATAAGTAAAGAGATTAGAGTAATTCCATCCCTAGTGGACTAGCATGGAATAATTTTATCTACCCAGTATTATCAACTAGAAAACTGTCATTTGCAGAGAGTTTTTCAGTGTAAGAGATGTAACTCAGTTGAAGAGCATAGTACTGACTATGCTGAAGATCTGTGTGGGTTCTGACAATGCCAAAAGCAAAACAAAAACAAGTTATTTAGATAGTGAATAGAAACTGTGGCCAGGTGAGCCAAAAATTCAGCAGGGACCTCAGGTCTCTGTTCATAGGAATTGTGCCCTCTCTGACCATCAGGGAGCACTATGGGACTGCCTTATGGTCCCTACACAGGGCTCAGTAAGAAATGTTCACTCTTTTGTGCTCACTAATGGGCAATCAGTAACTGTGTCTTCTCTGATGACTTTTGTCTTAACTTAGCAGGTGTTTTCTCCAAGGGATCTCCCAAGGGGACAAATAAACTTTCATTCTCCACAGTCTGCAGTATGAACTGAACTCCATACCAAGATTCAGAGAAGGCTTGGGGCAGTTATTGTAGAGTCATATTTGCATAAAAGGAGTTTTTGGGGGCCAGGAACAGAATGTTATGACTTCAATATTTTTACATAGTTTATCAGAGACCTACAGAAAGTATACTGACACCAATCCAGAGATGAGAAGACACAACCTTAAGGAACATGCATTTAATAATGAAATCTATCACAGATACTAGTGGTAAGTTATAAAAATGAGGAAGGGCCCCCAAATCCACTGTAAATCATACCGGAAGAGATCTTCAAGGTTTGTAATAATCAGGACTAGGCATCAGAGGCAAAGGATATGTTTAGAGAAAAAGATTTATGTATTCAATGTTCATCCACTATTTCAGGATAGCTCTAGAGACTCCCACATAGCCAAAACCCAGTAGGGCAAACATTGAATTTTGTGATTCGATGTTCAGCATCAGGCCTGCTCTGTGGCAAGATGTGAACTTGAAATCCTTGGATGGCTCCAATCCTGTGACACTATTGGTGGTTTTAGCTCTCAAGGCTTCTCTCTGGGTCCAGCCTCACCACTCCTTGCAACTTTTCATAAATGATCCACTTTCCTGGCTTTTCCAATATTTTTGGGTTTTCAATACACTTTCAGCTGCACAGTCATAGCTTCACACCATGATTCCTCAAGGATACATTGTCTAGCCTCCCAGGCCTTCTTGAAGCCTGATGGAATCCTTCCTGACCCCACAGCTCTTGTGTTCTGCATGTTCCTAAAACTACAACCATGTGTATTATGTCTAGGTCTGCTTCCAGACAGAGCAGTAGCCAGCTTCCTTATTTCTGGGATGTAGGGATCCAAAGCCTGAATTAGTGAGTTGTAGGAACCCAAATCTGAGGAATAAATTCCCTAGGGAGCTGCCTCTGGAACATGATGAACACTCTCTTCTCAGGGCAAATCTTTCACTTTGAATGCAGAGGGTGGAGTCCTGCTAGTTTGTGTAATTTCCTCGGACCACCTATTTTATTGTCTTCTGAAATACTTGGTTTTATATTGCTAGTATTTTCAATAGTTAAGTTCTGTTCATGTCCATGTTTATAGGCTTCAACTTTACTGGACATTTCTTTCTGGTCTAATTTAAAACTTTAAAGATCATTCAGCAGGGCCTTTTGCTCTTGATTTTCATGTTAGATCTGGTTTAACTTTTTCATTTCTAGTGCAAAATCCTGGACACTCACAAGGAGAAAATGTTTATATTAGCTCATGATTTGTAAGCTTCAGTTCATAGTCTCTTTGGTCAAGTAAGATCACATGCAGAGAAAAAACAGCCCATGGCATGGGAGAAAGGAGGCAGCAGCAGCAGCAGCAACAGCAAGGCTTCCTTTCCTTTTTATCCCACCTAGGCTGTAAGACGATTGGTTGTTGCTAACCACATGTGGTGTGAGCCTTCCAATTGTCCATAAAGAAAACTATGTTAATCCTATTGGTGGACAAATTTAATTACCACTCTCTCATAATCTATATTCACACACCCTAGATCCAGCCTCACCTATTAGCACGAGTGTTTTTCTTTTTCTTTGGGTGGTGGGTAGAATCAAGATACATGCCAGAATAATTAGTAAGGAAAATGATCCAACTGACTTAGAAAAGGTCAAATTGGCAATCATACATTTGAAGAACACTATTGGGATACATTCCTGAAACAGAATATTGATACTTGTAATAAAGAGGTCCAAGTCACTTGTAGGATACACTAGAGTCAAAATTAATTACCATCATCCTGGAGGAGTTGGGGCAGACCATTGTCCTGACAGTTAAAGGATAATATCAATTTTTATGTGTACACTAAGATATTTCCTACAAAGCCTCTGAGTAAGAGTATTTTCTATGTTTACCTTATGTAATGTGTGATTCTTCATGTTCTGTAGTTTTTAACTTGAGTCTTACTGCCTGAATTCTAGTAGGCATGCTAATAAAAAGAGTTCATGGCCTTTCTGGGAAGCATTGTCTTCAGCCACATATGACTCTCTGCCTTTGTGTAATACCGATAAGTCTTACTTCCATTCTTTGTCACTTTTAAACTAGGGTAAAAATAAGCATCTCTACTCAATGATAGTAGCCTTGAAACTTTAATAGATTGTAAATCAGTGTAGTTATAAAATCCAACAGATTAGCTTCACTGAAGCCACATAACAAGTCTAGAATTTCCTTATAAACTCAGTACTTTTTCAGCTGTCATTATTAAAGCTTTGAGGAAGCCCATGGAACAGCCTCATTCCTGTCACTTGTTTTAACTGACTCAGAACAGACACAATCTGCACTGGAAGTGGCTGAATGAGGCTGATTATTGAGTATTTGAGATGTTTGTGTCAGGCTCGACTTCATTACAATAGAGCACACTGAGAGACTTAAAATTCCAAACCTTAGGAGTCACTGATTCTGCATCCTTCACTTTATCAGTGACTTCAATAACTGAAATCACTAAAAATGGTACTTTAAAGCAAATCAGTTCACCTGAAAATACTTGAGATACATATAATTAACAAAAAGGCTATGGAACATTAAATATGTACTTATGATTATTAAATCATGCATAAAGTAAATGATATCTTAATAACATCTTTTGTGGCAGAGCAAATACATTGCATTTTCATTTACATACATTTTTATACTTGCCACAGTCCAAGGTCTCTTCAGGAAGTGCGATACTCAGTTACAAATCAAAGAGCATAAGAGCCCCAGGTTATGGGTATGAGGCTAGACACAATGACTTGGTGAGAGGTAGAAGTCAGCTCCTAAGAATGTCAGGTCTCTGGATTATGTGGAAACGTGCCTCATTTGACTGTAAGAGAGCACTGTGGGGATTACTTTATCCCTACAATAGCTGTTCAATCAGAACCATTCACTGAAAAGAGTCCTGACCTTCTTGTGGATCCTACTTTTGCTAATAGGTACTCATCGGGTAGATCTTTTCTAACCTAGCCAGGTTTCCTGATAGTTATCTTCTCTCATCAATCAAGCACTTCTTCCCAAGAATTTGCAAAGGAAAAGCAAATCTTCACTTCTTCAGTCTATAATGTGATCTAAGTTCCAGAATCAGGGCTGAGGGAAGGGATAGGTATGATGAAAGCTAATTTGCATGCACATCCCCTCCTCTTCAGAAGATGGGAAATAAAAGAAAATCTGGAACAGCCCAGTCTCATTGTGGGGCTCCTAGTCCGACGTACATCATGGATTGGACTCCTCTTCTCCTCCTGTTCCTCTTTTACTGCACAGGTAGGGGCTGAAACTATTCATCAATATATCAAGAGCTAGCCAGACAGCCTAAATCAATCTCCTTTGGACAGGGTCTTGAAGAAGCTCAAATTTGTCCTTGGTTACTCACTCATGACTATGTCTGTTTGCAGGTTCCTTCTCCCAGCCTGTAGTGACTCAACCACCCTACCTCTCTGTATCTTCTGGAGCAAACGCCAGACTCACCTGTTCTCTGAGCAGTGGCTCTCCACTTTCTGACTACCACATTTCCTGGTACCAGCAAAAGACAGGGAACCGTCCTCAATTTTTACTGAGATACTACTCAGATTCAAATAAACAGCAAGGCTCTGGGGTTCCCAACCGCTTTGTTGGATCCAAAGATCCCTCAGCCAATGCAGGAATTTTGTTCATCTATGGACTTCAGTATGAGGATGAGGCTGACTATTACTGTCAAGCAGATTATGCCAATTATGGAAGTTGCACAGTGGTTAAAATGAAGGGAGAAGTGAGACTAAAATGTCTACTTTGTTCCCTCTGCAATGTTTTGTCACAGCTGAATTGGCTAAGTCTAAATCTGATTTAAAAAACAAGTTCTTATCATCCTTCTGGTTACTATCTGTTACTTGTAGATGTGAAAATCTCCTTTTCCTTAATGCATTGTTAAAACCTTCTCTTTATGGTCATATCAACAATTGTGCAAATCAGTTCCTGGGATTCAGTTCTCCTTCCAGGGAGATAGTGACGGTGGAAGGAAGAGGTTAATACTATTTGAGTGTAGCTTAGAGTCTTCACTTGAGTCAAAGACACATAGTTTGAGAGTTTTCTTTTGGTCACTGGGTTCATTGTATCCGGGTCTATATTTACAGGCTAGCTCCAAGAATGAGATCACTTTCTCAGAACTGCTAATTCCAGACTCCCTCTGACTTTGTGATTTTCTGCTGAATGTGAGAAGCAGGTCTCTATGCCTGCAAGTGGAAAACAAAATTTTCTCCACAATGAAATGAAATAATGTCTTTGAACTGCAGGTAAGCACAGACACCCTAACCATCAGGCTCTTTCTGTACTGAGTCATGCTTTGCAGTAACCAATCCTTTCTTTATTCCTGGGATTATCTGTTGCTTTTTCTTGGAGATCACTAAGGTTGAAATGCATAGATACTGCAGACAGATTCAAGAGTCAACTTACAAGTCAGTTTAAGGAGGATCAGAGAGATGCAGGTGCTGCGTGAGCTCTGTAACTCTTAAGAAGTCAACACTGGAGACAACTGGCCAGATCTGATATTCAATGTAGACCTAAGGATTTTCTTCTAATAACAGTAAGTCATGAAAGACAGTCTATGAAGAGTCCAAAGTCACTCTCAGATTGACCTGACCTGAATTATCTAAGAGTGGTATCTATTCCTCTCCCTTTGGCTTACTCTGTTTTAGGTGCAATCATAGAATACCATGAACCTAGTGGTTTATAAAAAAAATGGATGCATGTTTCTTATATTTGTGGATGATATGAAGTCCAAAATCAGAATGTTGGCAGATTTAATGTCTGGTAAAGATTCAATTTTTGGTTCATAGCACAGTCCTGTTGCATTCATACATTGTATAAAAGCAAGCAAACTCTTTTAAGGCTCTTTCTTTATGATATTGATCATGTTTATGGATGTGCTCTGCCTCAAATAGTCTGATTTCCTAATTTTTTCATCTTGGGGCTAGAATTTTAACATAAGAATTTTGAGAGAACACAAATATTTAGAATAATAACATAAGCTAACCCCAACTTCCCCCATGTTATCCAGGTGCCTGAACAACGATTCCAGGGAGTTAGAACTTTTGGAAAAGGCAAAGGATAGTGGGAAGAGGAAAGTGAGGATAAAGGGAAGTAAACAGATGTAGACGTGAGATGGATATATACCAACTCCTCATCATGCATATATGCATTATGTATGACAAACAAGTACTGATAAAAAGGAAGACGATCTCTGACAAAACAGAAGGGGTGTCAAATGATAATGGGGGCAGAAATGGGAATTACGAACTCCAGGGACTAAGATCACCAAGATTGTCAACAAACAACTGAGATCCAGGAAGCTAAAGGAAAATTTTCTTAGAGATGTCATTGGGAACAGAGTGCTCTGTGTAGATTTTGGCTGCTACTTTCCATTCCTGGGAAACAGCATAAGAATTCTGTTATAATTAACCATGTAATTTGTGGTACCTTCTTGCAGTAGTCCCAATAGACTAATATTCCAAGGACTCAGTCTAATCAGCTATCTAAATTTCCATGGATTTCTTATTTTGACCTACAATTTATCTAAAAGTATGATCATGAAATAAGAAACTTCTTGGTCTTTAGGCATTCAAATATATAATTACTCCTTTAATATTATTGAGATGATGTCCATTGTTGTAAAATCATTGATTTTTCATAACGCCAATATCTAACTGGAATTGAGAGGTAAACAGGTAAATACGTGAAGATCTTGTTACTATCAAAAAACACTTCTAAATCTTTTTGTAAATTTTGTGCACTCTGAAGAAGACACTTGTCATTTTGGATATGAACTGTGTTGTGTTTTAAGCGACATTTATAATGTGCAAAATGGGAAACAAGGTGTTCATTTGCTGCACTCATTGGAAGGGTACAAAATAGAGAAATGAGGAATAAGACATGACTAAAACCACAGCAGAATCCTTTTGCCTATGTGAAACCATTGCTTCCTTGAATTTAAGAAGCATATTCTCGGAGTGTCTAGTCAGTATCTAGTCTGGATGTTAAATCAGTATTCTGTGATGGAACTTGAGATTCTGCATTTCTAAAAATTCCCTCCCCCCAATAATGTAAAGCCACTGATTCCATGAAAGAGTTTAAAATACATTAGAGATCATTATCTGACAGTAACCAAAGACAGCTGTCAAAGACATACAATAGATTCCTGATATATTTTTTTTAAATGCATGGTTTTATGCAGGGACACTATGACACATGACATGTGAAAAATTGAAAGTGGCTTCATTTTCTTTTAAAGTCAAAACAGAAATTAACACACACACACACACACACACACACACACACACACTCAAAATCTCACTTTCACCTGCACTGTCCCTATTGGCTTCTCCTGTACCCGGAGAGCTGATGGTCCTTCCGTGGTTCTTGGGCGTCTTTGCTCTATAACTTTTCTCCATGTCACCTCCTCTGTTAATGCTATGGTCTTTACATTAGAAAAATCAGGGACAGTTTTTGAGATATTTTTCTTCTGTCCTAAAGCTATATATGCTTTCTTCTAATTTAAACTACTCTGATGGCTTAATTCAAATGAAGCTGGATCTCCAGAAATCATTTTATAATTATATTTGTGCCTTGTCTTTGTATTTCCTTGGATTTTCTCATTTTTAATATATACAATGATTCACAGAATGTTTATATTCACTCTCATAAATGTTCACTAATATGCCCCTGCTAGTTCAATATCGTGAGGAATCAAACAAGAAAAGAGAAACCTGGCTTGGAGAACAATCTGGGTTATGGGTTTTTGGTTGATTTTTTGATGAGCTCAAGTAATGAAACTTTCTTTCATGCCAAGTTTGTACCTGGAAATAAGCTCCCCTCCTTATCAGATGAGACGAATTTTGTGTTTTGTTCTCACCAAGGAATTTTGAATGAAAAATTACAGACTGAGACAAGGTAGCACAATTCATTCTTCTGAGAAGTGGCTGTGGTTTGCTCCTGGACACAGAGCAGGGAATAGACAAACCCTTGGTGGAGGCAGATATGTGACCACCAACCATCTGCTGTAGACACAATGGACTTATGTACAGGAAACACAGCACAATGTTGGGACATAGCCATTGGATACAGAGGACTCTGAGCCAGGGAAGCAGGCATCTGCCTGCTGGCATCTGCCCAAGGCTCATTGAGTCTAGGAGACTTTTTCTACCCCAGAGAAACCTCAGACTAGGCTCTGCCCAGGCTCAATCTTCAAAAAAGCCATCAGGTATCAGTGTCAACATAGGCCCTCGGATGAAGTTGATTGGTTAGAAGAAGAATAGATTTGCATATAGGGCATCCTGGCTGTTCTGGGACTTGAGGGTAGTATAAGAGACCCTGCACCAGTATGGCTTCTTCATCAGAACTCTGTGGTGTCTGCACCATGTCCCAGACCTTTCTTTTCTTATTCACCTTCCTCCTCTACTGCACAGGTCAGTAAGGTACTCATCATTCTATTCCCCAGCTCAGTGAAACTGTCTCTTAAATTATTACTGGAACTGTCCTCTACTCTGCTCCTTTTCCCAGGTAACAATGCATATCTGTATTTTCAGGATCCTTCTGCCAGCCTGTGCTGAAACAGTCACCCTCTGCTTCTGCTTCTCTGGGAGCCTCAGTCAAGCTCACCTGCACTTTGAGTAGTGAGCACAGCAGTTACTTCATTTCGTGGTATCAACAGCAGCCAGGGAAGTCCCCTGGTTATGTGATGAGTGTTTACAGTGATGGAAGACATAGCACGGGGGATGGGATACCTGATCGATTCACAGGATCCAGCCCTGGGGCTGATCGCTACTTAACCATCTCCAACATCCAGCCTGAAGACGAAGCTGACTATTTCTGTGGTGTGAGTAAAAGAGGTATTTAAAGCACAGTGAAGCAGATGAATGGGGAAATGAGACAAACATTTTTTTTCTCATCTAATGTCAAAGATTGCCACACAGCAATTAGAAAGTTTCTGGTGTCTTAAACACTAAAAACACTATTAATTTTGTTGAAAAAATATATAAAATTACAGACCCACTTATGTTCTAAATCCGGCTAATAAGTCACTGAAAAACAGCTTGCTTGGCCAGTTTCCTACAGATTGCAGAAACAGAATAATGCAAATATTACAACAGCTCTTGCTGACCCCTGCTGTTCTGTGGAATCCTCATTATATTGTGTCACAGGTTTATTCTCCTTTCCAGATTCTGTTAGACTCAAGACATTTCTCATTATGTGACAAGGAGTTTGTTTTTGGCGACCCACCCTAGGACATTATTTTACTTCTGATTTGAAAAGTCAAAACTGCATTACAAATGATGTTATAATAAGAGATATAATATAAGATTAGATGGGAGTTAGAACTTTTTAACAATTTGACAGTTTGTGAAAGTTTCCTCAGCCTTCCAATTTTCTACATTTTAAAGATGTAGTACAAGGGGGGGACAATTACTCTATCAATGGGAGTGAAAAGAATAGCCATTTAAATTCAAACATATATGAAATAACAGTTTTAATTTTAAAGACATTACATTGGGCTGGGGATATGACTCAGTGGCAAGGGCCTGCCTGGAAAGCATGAGGTCCTGAGTTTGATTCCTGGTACAAAAACAAAAACAAAAACAACTTAATATTACATCAATTGTGCTGTTTGCCTCTAAACAAATACAAAAAATCAAGCATGTATTGAATAATTATTTGTGTGCTCTGATATTTCACAATAGTCACTCTATTCCTCATTCTTCAGTAATACACAAACTTTACATATTCTGAGGTGCTGTGAGTATAGATTGTACAATTATCTCTTAGGGTTCTATCCTCACTCTGTGCAAACTTATCCATGTACACTCTTTTGTATGAAGAAATGTGGCAGCATAGATGTACAGTGTGATCAAAGAATCTACTAAGTATTGTGAGATGCAGAGCAGCAAGTCAGTCCATTTCCTAGTTCTATACTTTGTATGTCTGGACCTTTTTAGAAACATTCATCCTTTAAGAACCTTACGTATCGGGGCTGGGGATTTAGCTCAGTGGCATAAGTTCCTGCCTTGCAAGCATGTGGCCGTGAGTTCAATCCCTGGTACCGATTTAAAAAAAAGAACCCTACATCTCCAATGTCAATCTCGCAACCATTCTGTGCCCTGACCTAGGACCCTAACTTCCCATTCACTCACATCACAGTAGCTTCCTTCCCTGGCACCTGTGAAAGAAGTTACTCAGGTTTAGGCTGTGAGAGCCCTGTGTGTTCTCACCTCCATGCACCCTCTTCACATGGCACGAGGGTCAAAGTCTCCACAGTTTAATCTCCCAAGAGTCTCACATTTCTTCAATAGCAAATGGTATTTACTACCCTTGATTCTTTGAAAGATATACCAGACTGTGCATGCCAATGGCATCATTGGACTAACTGTGGGAAGGATTTCTATCCAATTCCCTGAGGATAGTTTCCACTGAGACTGATGGGTAATGAAAGCATGGGACATTATAAGTCTACCACAATCCATAGAGTGGGCACCCACAGTCATGATATCTTCAAATTTCTAGTGCTAAAGCTTTAATATTTGTATTTACAAATGGATAAGAGCAACTAATTTTCTGAGCTGAGTAGTCTTCTATTCATGTGTTTTTGCAAGGTTTAAGCAGAAGTTTCCTCCCTAGTCATTCCTCTGGGTGAAGATAAGTCTCACACACATCTCAGGAACCCTAACTGAAGCATAAAGCTCAACTTTAAGTGATGCTCAGGATACATCCAAGATCAAGGGACAGACCCAGAGCACTGCCACACTAGGCTGCATTTTCCTGACAGGTTTCAGGCCTGCCCCGGATATGCCCAGTGACCTTCTCTGAACCGGGAAGCAGGAATTTCAGCTGGGGGCTGGGGTGAGTAAGCTCCCTATCCAGAGCGCAGGAGGCTGTGTTAAGATCATTGCTCTCAGAGCTCAAGGGCCTGCCCAGAGCCCAGCCACACTAGGCTGTGCTCACCTGGCAGGTTTCAGGTCTGCCCAGGACATGCCCAGTGACCTTCTCTGGAACAGGGAACCGGGAAACTCAGCTGGAGGGTGGGGTGATTCCTCGTGCCATCCCAAGTCCAGGACACTGTGTTAAGATCATTGCTCCCAGAGCTCAAGGAGCCTCACGAGAGCCCAGCCACTCTAGACTTGGCTTGGGAGGTTCTGCAGACTGAGTAGATTATCCCCATGACCTTCTTCAATTATGGGAGTGGAGAGCAGGTGAAGTGAGTTTCAGGGCATTGGTCTTTGCCTGGGGAGAGCTTTAGCCCATCATCCACAGTGGGTAGGTGCCTGCCCAGCTACCTGGAACACTGAAGTAGCACAGGAGGGCCTGAGGTTTGACTGGACCATGCTCAGAAACCTCTATTCAGTTCCAGGAGCCTAGAGCATAGGAGATGATTTCCACACATTCAGGGGAAGCTTTAGAAAAACACTTGAAACACAGAAATATAGGAAAATGACAAAACAAAAGACCAAAATGCAATCTCAAAACATCCAGTACATCCCAAGAAACCATAGGAGCCATGTACATAGAAGAAAATGTATGCCATACACCTGAAATACCTGTAATAATAGCAACTGAAATAATGAAGCAATTAAAGGGAGCTTTAAAGGAATTCAAACTAGAAATAATCTCCCAGGTAAAAGCAGAACTGATAAATGTAATGAAAGAGATGCTGAACGCATCTAAAGAAGACACAGTTAAAGAATTAGAGGAACAAAACAAAAAGATAGAATCCTTGGATGAACAATTTAAGAAACAAACAGAATGCATGAAGCAGATTCAAAGAGATACACAAAAAATCAAAAATTTCCTTGAAAGTTGTCAAAATTGACTCAATGAAAGTGAAGATAAAATTTCAGACCTCAAAGACAAGACTGCAGCTAGTGAACAGGAAAGGAAATATCTTTTAAAAATAACAAGGAATCAGGAATTAATAGATCAAAAGCTGCAAGATGATGCAAAGTAAAACAACATAATATTAATAGGGATAAATGAAAATGAAGGGAACATCACAAAATATATCAAAAGGCTATTCACAGAAGTCATAGCTGAAAACTTCCCAAACATGAGAATGGAAACTGACATTATGATTAGTGAAGCATATAGAATTCCATATAGCCATAAAAAAATAAAGCTACAACCAGGCATATAATAACCAACATACCAGAAATCCAACATAAGAATAGAATACCAGAAGCTGTCAGAGAGAAAAGACAGATCACCTATAAAGGAGAGCCTATCAGAATCACAGCAGGCTTCTCAACACAAACAATGAAATCAAGAAGAGCATGGAGTGAAGTACTTCAGATCCTATAGGAAAATGATTTTCAACCTAGACTGATGTACCCTGAAAACTGTCCTTCAAAATGGATGGAGAAATAAGATACTTCCATGACAAAGAAGAGCTGAAGAACCTCATGATCACCAAGACAACCCTGCAAAGAATACTGAAAGTCAGTTTAGATATACTTAGGAAAAAAACCACTAATCAAAGAAGACATATCAGAAAGAAGAACATATCAGAAAGATAAAGATTCAACAGCAGAAAGATAACATGTCAACAATAAAGCAACATATAACAGTTATCACCATTTATGTAAATGGACTCAATGCACCAATTTAAAAGAAAACAGACTGGCAGAATAGATCAAGAAACAAAATCCAACCATGTTCAGTCTACAAGAAACTCATCTACCCAGAAGGATACTCACAGACTGAAAGTCAAAGGATGAAAAACAATATACCATGCACCAGGAACTGCCCCAAAAAGCAGGGGTAGCTATTCTGTTTGCAGACAGTGCGAACTTCAAAGCAATAATGACCAGAAGAGATAAAGAATGTCATTATATACTGGTTAGGGGAAAACTCCAAGAGGAAGAGGTTACTATCTTAAATACATATGCACCAAATTCCAGAGCACCCAGTTATATAAAACAAGTATGAACAGAAATTAAAAACCAAATTAGCAGTAACACAATTATAACAGGAGACCTTAACACACAATTGACACCAAGGGACAGATCAACTAAACATAAAATCAGCAAAGAAATAATAGAATTGGATCTCACCTGTGAACAAATGGACTTGATAGACATATACAGAGTGTTCCAACCAACAACATCAGGATACACATTATTCTCAGCAGTACATGGGTCATTCTCTAAAATAGACTATATATTAGCTCACAGCACATATTTAAATAAATGCAAAACAGTTAAAATTATCCCTTGCATGCTATCAGATCATAGTGCCATGAAATTAGAAGTTAATGATAAAAGATACTGCAAAAATCTCACAAACACATGGAAATTGAATAAGACACTTGACTAATCAGTGGGTCACAGGGGAAATTAAATAGGAAATTAAACAATACCTACAAGAAAATACAAATACAAATACAACTTATTGGAATCTGTGGGATCCAATGAAAACTGTCCTCAGAGGAAAATTTATTGCACTGAGTTCCCATATCAGGAAAACAGGATGAATACAAAAAATAACCAGATGTTACACCTCAAACTTCTAGAAAAAGAAGAGCCAGTCAATCCCAAAGCCAAAAGAAGAGAGGAAATTATAAAAATCAGAGCAGAAATTAATGCAATATAGTCTAAGAAAACAATCCAAATAATCAGTGAATCAAAGAGTTCGTTCTTTGAAAGAATAAATAAAATTGATAAGCTGCTAGCCAATCTGATTTTAAAAAGGGAAGAAAAAGCTCAAATCCATGCAATAAGGAATGAAAAAGGCAAAATCACTACAGACTCTGTAGAAAAACAGAAGATCATCAACACCTCTTTCAAAAACCTCTAATCTCATAGGTTTGATAACACAGAAGAAATAGACAGATTCTTAGAAACATATGAAGTA